GTACCTGGCACATCATGGGTGATCAGTAAGTAGTAGTTATTTTGTGGAAGTTTTGCTCATTATGAATACAGACTCAAAGTAGCAGCATTGACCCTTGTGGATAAATGCAATTTGGGCTCTCTAAAGCCAAAAACAAAAGCAGCTGGGAATTGCTCTCTATCTTCCAAGTTAACAAATTTTCACAATCTCATCTCAGGGGAGGGCCCTTCAAGATTTTTCACTGAAACATTGCCTTACCCAAATTTAGCCTTACCCAAATCCAAAATAACTAGACAGAGACTTTCTCTATCTTGAGTTGATGCTATATAAATCAAGACTTGAAATTTTATATTCATACATGGCAAGGGGCTTCGGGGCAGTTAAACAGCATTTGTGCAAACTGTTATATACAGGGTGAAAATAAGTGGTTTACCATCAGTAAGAGCTCACAAATTAAAAGCAGACGGCCTCATCAAGGGAAAAACTGCCACTTCCCCTCCGGCTCCACCACTGGCCCACTGCCTTCCTTCACAAGTTTCATGTTAGTCTGACAACCTTAATTGGGCAAGATTTCCATATCTTTGCGAGAAAACCAGTCTCTAGCCCTCCATCTTGTCAGGAAAGTTAACTGACATCTTCTGGACACTAACTATGAGCCAGACACTGTGCCCATTCTCATCTCATTTGATTTTCGCAATGGTTTGAAATAGACATATTTCACACCCTTTAATAAGAAAACAGAGATCAAGTATTTATCCAGAGTCACAAAGTCACACAAAGAGTAAGTGGCAAAATGACTGGCTGATTCCAAAACCAGAAGCAGTGACAATTGTGGGGACAGCAACACTGTGTTTTTTAAAATAGCTGAGTAATTATGTGAAGTTGAAAATGGGCAAATCTCATAGGCTTTACTAGAGCTCATAGTGAGAGAGCATGACAAAAACAATAGAAGCCTTTTCCTAAAACACAAGGAGTATCAAGGGGTTATTTGTACATTCTATGCTGTTCTATTCTATTGCACAATCCAAACCCAAGCCCGGGCTCCTCACACCGTGCAATTTCTAAACCTAGAGAGCACGGGGCACAATCAGTGTGTTTATAGGGGTTAGGGGGACCCAGAGAATGTGGTTAATAACCTGCTAAGTAAAAGAATCCAAAATCTCCACCTATAACTCATCAACTTTCCCATTTCTCTGGTGTTTTGAAGAATAATGTTATAGGACCGTAAGGGAAGAAATTGTAGGTGAGTGTGAATATTTCACTCTGAAATGGCTAAATTGATTTTTGAAAGTTCTTAAAATAGAAACTGAAGTTAGTGGCTGGATTGTATTAACAAAGGCTTTGCTCTTTTACTCTGACCTATTACTTGAGGATATTCCCGTGATTACACAGCAGGGCGTGTCTGTCAGGTGACCCCATCTATTTTCAGCTACCTACAAAAAGGAACTCTGGCAGGGACACCACCACTGGGACAACAGGCATGTGTAGCAAATTCTCATTTCCAAGAGAATACTTCCAAGCTGGAGAAGTTCCCCCTCAACCTCCTCTAAGATTTACAATCAATGTTTGGGAGAAGAATTCAGAAAATAGTTTCTTGGGTTTTTTTCTTTTCTTTCTTTTTTTTGGGGGGGCTTTTTAAGTCCACTCCTTAGGAAGCAGGAGGGGGTGGATGATGGGAGGTTGCTTGGTGGGTACAATGTTTGTTGCTCCAGTAATGGATGCACTGAAGGCTCTGGCTTCAACACAATGCAGTAAGTTAATGTAGCAAAATTGCATTTGCACCCCTTGAATATATACAAATAAAAAAATTTTAAAACAAACAAAATATTTTTTAAAAATCCCACTCTCCTGCTTTTTTGAGGAAACCCTTCAGTTCCCTGTTACACTGTTTGAAATGAAGTCAGGAGTCTGGGCTGGTAGGATTGGGACTCTGGTGGGACACCTTCTTCAGACCCCTTTGCCATCCCATTTTCTGATTCAAACTGCAAGTGATTTTAAACGTGATCTGATAACAGAATCATTCTGGCTCACAGCAGTTGCGTCGCCCTCATGGTTTTGCCTTGAAATTCCAGCTTCAAGATTCCAAAGAGGGCAGCTCTTTGCATCACATCACTGGTCTTTAAGGTGTCAGTTATCTTCCTGATGGATTGTCCCCTCTGACATAGGTTTGAGGAGTTTGACAGGATTTTCACCATTTTTTTGGTTCTTGCCCAGTGATTGAGGGGAGGAAGAGGGTTTGTAGAGTTATTGCAATGGATTGTAAAGCCCAAATCACAGCACACAGAGCCTTTAGACTGAAGAACAACTTATCATATTCACAGATAGATACATCGATACATAGAGAGAGAGAGAGATACGGATACTTTTTGAATATACAGACTATTGGGGTTTTCTTTCAAATATAAATGCAAGTGAAAACGCTTGTCGTTTTTGTCAGTCAACAGATACAATTATGTGAACATCTAGGAAATTTTTTAACATTCAAATGCAGTTCTCAAAAAATAGATATAGTTCTCACATCTGAAGATTGTGAATCTGTGCCTAAGCCTTCGCATGTTACTCTTTATATAAAAGAGGAGCTTAAAGGGCACTCTTAGCAAAATAATTCTGGCTATGCAAAGCAGCTTAGGGTCAGGAGATACTCTTCCAAAGGCCCTGAACTCAAATCATGCAGATTGACCACACGCTTTCTGAAGCCAACCCGCCTCCCTCCCACAAATCTTCCCCTTTGGGGCATTGTTATGTATCTTCTCAGTTGGGCATCCTTTGCTCTCTGGTTCTCCTTCTCCTCCATAATTCTTCCTCCCTCCCCGCCCCCTTACCATTTAAGGAAGGCAATTTACATTCCATGATGTCAACAGACTCTTTTTTAGGGCAGGGATGGGGTGAAGATGTGGCTCCCTGATTGAAGCCACAAACTAGGGATATCTCTTCGTTCTCACACTCAAACAGGAAGGCCATTGAGTGACGCCTACTTTTGCACATGACTAACTTCAGATGAAGAAATCTTTGCTGCTCTAGGGCTGAGGGCAAGGAAGGGAGAAGTGTGAGGTCACCTAAAAGGAAACTGCACAGCAGCACCTCTTGCCTGGCAGACAGATCCAGGAGCAACCGAGAACCCAGACTCACAAAATACCTGTAATTAGATCATGAATCTTTATAGGCTACTTGAAATAAATCACTCTTGGGACATTCGTATGAGGCACTGAGCAGCTCTCAAGACCTATGCCGGACTCTCATTTCCTATCTTTCTCTCTTCCCCTCCCAATTAAAGTGACAGCAGAAATCATGCCAAATGCCTTTTATTTTTTACCCCTACCACTGGAAGGAAATGGTGCAGTCAAGAGATACCTGCTGATGGAAATCTAAAATACTCTGGCTTGATAATGAACACTTAGATTACATGATGAAATAATAAAACACGCAGAAAGAATGGTGATAACTTTTAATAGTTTTATACTGTCAACATATCAACTTTCATATGTGCATATACATTTAAATACAGTTACAGACCATAAATACCCATATGGCCAAATACCTATCTACCTCTAGGCAGAAAAAAAAAAAATCTTCCCAACTAAACAAAAGCCTTAAGTAATACTGAAGAAAGTAGATGTGAGGTAATTTTTCATCGAAAGTGACTACAGACCATATCAAGATATTTTTACTGTAAAAATTCAAGTAGTTATAAAACCCTTGTGTCGTAACTCAAAAATGCAACTTTAATACACATTCTCAAAACAAAAATAATTATAAATAGGTAAAATAAATAGTTATTCCTGCTGAAATTCAATCATGACATTATTATTTATGTATCTGAGGACTTTGTTTATAGCCCAGATTTTTAAAAAAAATGAAACTTAGGAAACTCTTCCCACAATCTAAATAATACTGTAATACAAATTATCTGTATGGATATCCATATATGTATGTGTGTGCACATATATATTCATGTGTGTATACATGGGATTTTCATTCTGGGATGAGAAATATCTTTCTTTTTAAAGAAAAGTATGTTCTAACTATGAAAATATTCTTTATTTCTTTTAAAAGATCACTTTCCATAGGATATGCACCGACTACTATGAAAAGGGGCATTTTACAAATTTTTAGAAACATTTTCTTATCAAGTTGTTTGTTGTTTTTACTAAGTTCTAATTACATCAATTAAAAAGTCAAGTTCTACATCTTTTTCATTTTTCCCTGGTTATACAAAATCCCCATGCTCTTTTACCATGTAATGTTCAATCGGCAAGAGTTTTACTTCCTATAAAATCCAGTTTTTTCAAAGTTACTTTCCAGTTTTCCATACTTTCCAGTTAATGCCCCCAGAACACATTAATGAAAGGGCATCTGAACAGAAGCAATACAATTTGAATAAAAAAAGACAAATTATCAACTTATTTTACATTATGTAGTGACCTATGAAATAAACATTCACTATGACATTCAGTGTTCTCAGAATGAAATTTGTTCTTTTAACAAGATTAATAAACTAAATAGGTATACACTGCTCTGGAGTTGGCATTGAAAAGCAAAAAAAAAAAAAAAAAAAGATGGACCAAGTTCTTTTCCAGGGCCATACTTCCAGTCTTAATCTTATTTGTCAACTCCTTTT